AAGAACTCTAATAGATTAGTAAGACATGATTTCCCTTTACAGAAACCATGTTGACTTTTGTCCAACAAATTATGTTCTTCTACATGCCTGACAATTTTATTCTATTGTTTTGACTAATTTGCCCGGTACTGAAGTTAGACTTACTGCTCTGTAATTGCCAGGATCTCCTCTGGAGCCCTTTTTAAATATTGGTGTCACGTTAGCTACCTTCCAATCATTAGGTACGGAAGCCGATTTAAAGAATAGGTTACAAGCCACAGATAATAGTTCAGCAATTTCCCATTTGAGTTCCTTTAGAACCCTTGGATGAATGCCATCCGGTCCCGGAGATTTGTTAACATTAAGTTTTTCTATTTGTTCCATAACCTCCTCTAATGACACTTCAATCCAGGACAGCTCCTCAGATTCATAACCCACAAAGGCCGGTGCAGATTTGGGAACCTCCCTAATATCCTCAGCTGTGAAGCCGGAAGCAAAGAAATCATTGGCCGTATCTAGACTGTCCAGTTTTTCCGGAAAATCAGCCGCTTTTCCGGAAAAACTTGCCAGCTGTCTACATTGGCCGCTTGAATTTCCGCAAAAGCTCTGACTTCCTACTGTAAGAAATCAGTGCTTTTTGCGGAAATACTATGCTGCTCCCGTTCAGGCAAAAGTCCCTTTTGCGCAAAAAAGCCCTGATCGCGAAAATGGCGATCGGGGCTTTTTTGCACAAAAGCACTTTTTGCGGAAAAGCGTCCGTGCCAATCTAGACGCTCTTTTCTGAAAATTCTTTTAACGGAAAACTTTTCCGTTAAAAGCATTTCCGGAAAATCATGCCAGTTTAGACATAGCCATTTAGTTTCTCTGCAATGGCTTTAACAGCCTTGATTGCTCCTTTTATATCTCCATCGTCTAGGAGACCCACTGGATTTTTAGCAGGCTTCCTGCTTCTAATGTACTTAAAAAAGATTTTGCTATTTCTTTTTGTGTTTTTGGCTAGCTGTTCCTCAAAATCTCTTTTTGCTTTTCTTATTACATTTTTACACTTGATTTGACAGTGTTTATGTTCCTTTCTATTTATCTCACTAGGATTGGACTTCCACTTCTTGAAAGATGCCTTTTTGTCCCTCATTGCTTCTTTTACACGGTGGTTAAGCCACGGTGACTCTTTTTTAGGTCTCTGTTTTTTAATTTGGGGTATACATTTAAGTTGGGCCTCTATTATGGTGTCTTTAAAAAGTTTCCATGCAGCTTGCAAGGATTTGGCTCTAGTCACTGTGCCTTTTAATTTCTGTTTAACTAACCTCCTCATTTTTGTGTAATTCCTCTTTTTGAAATTAAATGCCAGAGTGCTGGACTGCTGAGGTGTTCTTCCCACCACAGAAATGTTAAATGGTATTATATTATGGTCACTATTCCCAAGCGGTCCTGTAATGGTTATCTCCTGGACCCAATCCTGCGCTCCACTCAGGACTAAATCTAGAATTGCCTCTCCCCTTGTGGGTTCCTATACCAGCTGCTCCAAGTATAACTGTTGAATCCCATGAGTTTTGCTGTATGTGTTGCTTATACAAGTACAGTCAGTAGGGGTGCATCTACACTGCTCCTGTAGCTCAAAATAAGCTATACAATGTGAGTTATGCAAATTGCGTAGCTTATTTCAAGTCAGTTTTGTAATGGCTTATTTTGAAATTTGGTGCTGTCTACACAGCACTTATTTTGAAATAAATTGCTATTCCGAAACATCCCTTACTCCTCGTGGAATGAGGTTTACAGGGACATCGGAATAGTGAGCCTGTTATATTTCGAAATAACGGGCATGCTCAAAAGATGCAGAATAGCTATTTTGGGATACCTGCGGTATCCCGAAATAGCGCTGTAGTGTAGACGTAGCCTAAGTAAGAAACATCCAAAGAGGATACGAAAGAATTCTAGTCCACGTTTAAGATACTGTATTTCTAAACTTTGTGAGAGTTTTGGTCATTTCTACCCAAATCAAATCTTGATATTGGTTTTATTACAAAATGTGATTTAAAACAAAACAATCACATATAAGCTCCCTTACCTTACAGTACTAACCATGTAACCTCTTGCTAGCTGATAGGTTTGGGAAAGGGGAGGAAAAATGTCTCAGTGAAAACAGAACTTGTAATCAATTCCCAAAAGGGGAGAATAAATTCTTTCATAGCCTCAAGGAGAAGATGAGAAGCAACATTACTAGGGCTGTCTGGGATGGAAATAGCAGAAGTGACTCAGAAGTGGAGACTAAGCATACTACATTAGGGAAAAAAAAGAAACGAATTATTCTCCACTGCAGAGAATTTGATCAAAACATATTCTGTATGGCACAACCTGTTTAACAATTGGCTTATTCATGGGGATGGAAATTCACTGTAGCAGCCTGCAAGTGAAGGAACAGTATCTCCATTGATGAGCAAATCAGATGACAGTTTATTATACAATTAGCTAAAAACAAAAGCCCAAACCTAGCATTTTGGTCTTTTGTTTGAATCCGTTCAAGAGAGAAGCTTTAAACTCATGAGGCTATTGAGCAGAATTGTTAACTGCAAGGACCTGCATCTACATCTAGGTCAACAATACAAAGTTTGCCAGGCCCATGAAGTTCATGGCTTTGAGCTTCCCAGGCTGCTCTCTGCTTTCTCCCCCTTTCTCCAAAATACAGTTCACACTACAGTAATTGGAAACAGTGCTGCAGAGGGTTTGTTTAGTGCAGGGTTTCCTAACCTATGGGTCGGGACCCAAATATGGGTCTCCATTACATTTCAAAAGGGTCGCCAAGTGTCTCCCCAGGTGACTCTGCCCTCCCTCCTCCCCCCATTTTTGAATTGCCTTGGGTCACCAAGTCTTCCTGAATTGTCAAAATGGGTCCCCATCTGGAAAAGGTTGGGAACCACTGGTTTCGTGACTCAACCTATAGGTTATTAGGCTATGTAATTTTTAAGCTAGACTGGCAGCCAAGAAATTCAAAATGAGAGGGAACAAAAGAGATAACAGGTCCTGTAATCAATGCAGAATTTCTTCAATTCAAACAAGGTATTTTCCCACTTCATTATCTCTGCACCACTTAATGCACACACTGAAATGGCGCTCCTTAAATAAGTGAAAAATAGGCTACAGACTTTGCTTTTTCTTATATTTTTAAATTCCAGAATGTGGATTTGTTTTCATTGACTTTAGTTTGCTGTGATTAGATCCTACAGCTATTAATGCTTTAGGAATGTTAATAGATGGTAATCTTGGGACCATAAAAAAAGGAATTGGCACATTAAGGTGGATCCAGTGCCAAGGTTTTGGTGCATAAACTATTGCAGTAGTAGTTAAAGTGTGTCTCTGCCCTGAAAGGATACTGACATCCTATTTAAAAAATGTTGTATTAGTGACATAAGCAATATCCTAGATGCATCCATCTGAAAGAATTTAAGAATCTAGAGCCCTGTCTTGGGTTTTGCCAGTATAGAACTCTGAAGACTTGCAGCATCAGGAAGGACTATAGAGGATCTGTGATCACAAGCCCTGATTAGACACTGGGATCTAATGTAATATTCACCATTTATGCTCCTCATTTACTACAGTAGAACCTCAGAATTATGAACTAGCCAGCCTCATACCTCAATCAGGCAGCAGCAGGGACAAACAAACAAACACCATCTCCTAGAATGGACCTTAAGAAGTCATTGAGTCCAGCCCCCTGACTTCACAGCAGGACCAAGTACCATCCCTGACAGATTTTCTCCAGATCCCTAAATGGCCCCCCTCAAGGGCTGAAACCATCAACCCTGGGTTTAGCAGGTCAATTCTTAAACCTACTCAGCTATATGCTCACATCCCTAATATCCACGCACTCCCTTTTCTTGCTGCCTCTGTATCAAGAGGCAATGGTGGGGAGAGTAGGAGCTGGTGCCTGAGAGGAGCAGGCTCCCCATGAGCACCAGATCCACCCCCACTACCACCCCCACGCGCTACTGCCTCTGATAGAGAGGCAGAAGTGCAGAGGGTGAAGGGGGCAGGCTGGTGCCGATATGTGCAGGGAGCCATCTTTCAAGCCAGCTCCCTGTCAGTACCAGCTCCGGGTGCCGCCTGTCCCCTCTCCCTGTGCTGCTGCCGAGCTCCTTGTGGACACAGGCTGCTTTGCATCCCATGGAGCAGCCTCTGTCTGCAACGAGCTCAGACCCCCCCACATGCAGGGGCTGCTGTCACCTCAGACCCCCCCACGAACAGGGGCAGATGTCACCCCACGGACAGGGGCTGCTGCCACCCCACACTGCCCTCCACTAGAGAGGCAGCAGCGCAAGCCGGCAGGGGGGTCCCTGGGAGTCGGGCCAGAGCGCACTTGCTGTTGGCCCCGCCCCCTGGGGACTATCAAATGGTCGTGTAACCACAAACTTTTCATACAGGTACACAGCTGTTCAATTACACAATATCTAACATCCCTAGTATATACCACTGTGAGCCGTCTGCCTACATTACGCAATTCCATCTATGTGAATAACGTAGCTGATGTCCACATTCTTAGGTCTGCCTACCAGGGTATCTTCACCGCGGTAAGTCGACAGCTGATGCTCTCCCATCAACTCCACTTACTCTTCTCTTTTTTGGTGGAGTACCAGAGTCAATAAGAGAACAGTCAGCAGTCAGTTTATTGCATCTATCCTAGAGACGATACATCAACCCCTGCTGAATCAATCACTGCCTGTTGATCCATCCTGTAATGAAGATATGCCCTCCATTTACCGGTAGGGAGTGAGGAAGAGCGATCCCGTGTTCCCACATAAAAGCCAAGAAGGTTGCTCCTGGGATCGGCTGGTGGAGGCACGGTTTGATGGAAAAAAGGCTAGTGTCTGTCATTGCTGTCACCTGTGTGAAAGATGGTAGCTCTCAGATGGCTTAGTAGGACCTCCTCCTTCCTGACTGGGAAAGGCTGAGTAAGCATAGCTGAGTGGAAGGGAAGGGCATGTGTGGTGCTGAATCCCTGACGTGGTGTTTGGTCTGTCTTTGTTTAGGAGAAAATTGAAGTGCAACATTCAGAAGGCTACCAGCAGATCTCTGCACTGGAAGAAGAACTGGCACAGACAAAAGCTGTTAAAGATCAACTACAGAAGTATATTCGAGAACTTGAGCAAGCAAATGATGACTTGGAAAGAGCAAAAAGGTGATGCAGATGCTCTTACCCTTCCCTATGCAGCTCCTGCTCGCTCTTTCGTGAAGCTAGCAGGACTGAGCATATCCGTTTCTATGTGTGCCAGTTAGCACTGTAGTACTGTCTGCTTTTGCCACAGGTGGTAAGCTGCTGGTTCCCCGGAAGTGGGTGAGTGGAATGTGAGCCTGGTTAATTTCTCACAAGCTTAAAATTAAAATAATGGAGTTTCTCACACAGAAGTACTGACGTTTGTTTATGTCTGGGTTGGTGCTTTAGACGTGTTAGGCACCTACTGATGTCTGTGACATTCTTTTTTCTATGCAGAGCCACTATAATGTCTTTGGAGGACTTTGAACAGCGTTTGAACCAGGCCATTGAAAGAAATGCCTTTCTGGAGAGCGAGCTAGATGAGAAGGAGAACCTTCTGGAGTCAGTGCAGCGATTGAAAGATGAAGCCAGAGGTTAACTATTTGAGTTATAGAGACCCCTGTCCTCCCACTTTCCAAAATGTTCATTAAATCCTCCCCTCCAATATGTTATCGAGCTATTAAGAAGAGAAAAACTTTAGAAATACTGTCGATGGAAGCTTTGCTCTCTCTGATGTGGCAAAGAGGGCAAAAGCTTATTGGTTAATGCTATAGATAACACACATTTCCCTGTGCCTGCCCCCTTTCCTCTCCCCGCCAGTAAATTTTTAGCAGGATGGCCAGCAGCCTGGCTCAGTCCCAGCTTACACCAGGTCTGGGACCTACCCCTGCTATGGCTCTGCATTTAAAGTGTATTAGGAAGCAGGCAGCCAGGCTCAGTTCTGGCTTGCGTCGGGTCTGGGAGCTCAGATCACGCTCTGGATAAGGGCTGCTGCCACCCTGCGCTGCTGCATCTGGAGGCAGCAGCATGGGGCGACAGGCAGCTGGTCCGTGAGGGGATCTGGTTTTTAAACTGGCTCGCCTCGTAGACCAGCTCCCGCCTGGCACCCTGCACTGCTGTCTCTGATATAGAGGTAGCTGCGCCGAGTGGCAGGGGGCTCCTCGGGAACGGGGCCAGAGCGCCCTGGCTGCCGGCCCCACCCTCGGGGACTATAGAATAGTCGAGTAACTGATAAGAATTCATGAGGTTAATCGACTGTTCAATTAACCAATATTTAACATCCCTATAAACAGGGCTCGACAATCTATTGAATCTACTCGCCCATGGCGAGTAGACTTCAGCCTGGCACCCCGTTTACCAGCGGCGCGCGCATGCGCAGTGAGAGGCTGGCGAGTGGCTTTTGCCGTGGTTCATCAAGCCCTGCCTATAAAAGTCATATGCTTCTCTCTTCTCTGCTATATTCTGGTGCCTATGGAGACCAGGATGGGTGGTACTCTAGTTTCTGGCATATTTCTGCCAATCAGAGGTGTGCTTTGAAATCACGTTGTAGAATTCAGTGTTTTGTCAGTTGGGCCTTTAACTATGCAGGATGCATTTTCTAAACATTCTTCTGACTTGTAAATACACACCAGGAAATTGTAGTCTTGTCCAGCCTGCCCCACTGAAGTACTGCAGACCTGGCTGGTGGAGATCTAGCCCAGAGTACTCTCTTCTCTGCTATTGCCTCTGTGGTTAAAACAAATGAAAACTAACTGGATTGGGAGAATGTGTTCCATGGTGTGACTGACTGCTTGATTGTGAGCTGACAGGACATGAATTTTAACAGATGAAACAGAGATGTTGTCAGCTTCTGTCACGAGAGCAGAGAGAGTAAGGAGAATAAATGGACAGTGCAATATGGAGAACCAAACACCATGGCTGTGTCTAGACTGGCCAGTTTTTCCTGAAAATCAGCTGCTTTTCTGGAATTACTTGCCAGCTGTCTACACTGGCCGCTTGAATTTCTGCAAAAGCACTGACTTCCTACTGTAAGAAATCAGTGCTTCTTGCGGAAATACTATGCTGCTCCCATTCGGGCAAAAGTCCCTTTTGTGCAAAAGTTTTGCGCAAAAGGGCCAGTGTAGACAGCTGAGATTTGTTTTCTGCAAAAAAGCCCGGATCGCGAAAATGGCGATCGGGGCTTTATTGCGGAAAAGCGCGTCTAGATTGGCACGGACACTTTTCCGCAAAAAGTGCTTTTGTGGAAAAGCGTCCATGCCAATCTAGATGCTCTGTTCCGAAAATGCTTTTAACAGAAAACTTTTCCGTTAAAAGCATTTCCAGAAAATCATGCCTGTCTAGACGTAGCCTGGGGCTGTGTCTACACTGGCCACTTATTCTGGAAAATCAGCCGCTTTTCTGGAATTACTTGCCAGCTGTCTACACTGGCCGCTTGAATTTCTGCAAAAGCACTGACTTCCTACTGTAAGAAATCAGTGCTTCTTGCGGAAATACTATGCTGCTCCCATTCGGGCAAAAGTCCCTTTTGTGCAAAAGTTTTGCGCAAAAGGGCCAGTGTAGACAGCTGAGATTTGTTTTCTGCAAAAAAGCCCGGATCGCGAAAATGGCGATCGGGGCTTTATTGCGGAAAAGCGCGTCTAGATTGGCACGGACACTTTTCCGCAAAAAGTGCTTTTGTGGAAAAGCGTCCATGCCAATCTAGATGCTCTGTTCCGAAAATGCTTTTAACAGAAAACTTTTCCGTTAAAAGCATTTCCGGAAAATCATGCCAGTCTAGACGTAGCCCACAAGTGAATGCTGATTCCATTCTATAGCTTCAGGAGTTGGTTTCCTGATTGCTGTTTCTGGCAGTAGGACCAGAGAAGAGGAAGGATGGCTTTCGAGTGCAGCACTTTGTTATTAGGAAAATGAGCACCTTAGAAAAACCTACAACTAGGTAAACATGGGAAGGAGGGCCAGATCCTTGTTTTGAAGAAGAGGTGGCCCGGGGGGTGAGGGACCATAAGCTTGAGGGTGTCTTTAGTTACACCACCCCAGAAAAGCTTAGATTGCTGATCACCCAGTCTGGGACCTGGGATTTTTATAAGTGGTTCGTACCAATATTGGGGCGGGATGTTGTCTGGGCTCTTTGGAAGCGGCATGTAATTACTTTTTTCAGGTGTGGCTGGTGATACACTCTGTGGTTCACAGCGTTCTTTGACAAAGCAAAAACGCTTGTACCCATAACTTCAGGTGGAGACATTTATCCAAATGCTTTGTACCTTTTCCTTCTCTTTTAGACTTGAAGCAAGAGCTTGCAGTGCAGCAGAAACAAGAGAAACCCAAAACGCCAATACGAAGTACACTGGAGGCAGAAAGAACAGACACAGCTGTGCAAGCGACCTTATCTGTGCCTTCCACTCCTGTCGCTCATAGGGAACCCAACGTCAGTATGAGCACTCCAGGAATATTTAGAAGAGGTAAGAGTGACAGACATTTGCTAACATAAGGCACATGTACGATAGCAACACTTGATGAGTAGTTTTTCAGGTTAGTGTCACTGTTCCTGGTGCATGTTGAATTTCTATCAAAACTATTGTCTACAGAGAAGGCTGAGAAATGGGGAACTGAACATGACAAATATTTAAATATTTATACAGATTGAAGCACAGTAATCTATTCTGAGTACCTTACACGGGTTCAATATGAATGTCTGAGTAGATTTATAGCCAGTGCATTAGAACTCCACCATGCTGTATTAAAACATGAGCTTAAAAAGAACAAGGTTGCTTCTAAGGTTATAATTTGCACTCATTAACCACCCTTGGATCTGGATGAGTTTGGTAGTAAGAATGGATGCCTCAGCATAATCTTTCATGCCAGATGCTCTCATTTGAATTAGCCAGCTAGAGATGGGGGTTGCTACTATAGAGATGCTTCATCCTGGAACACTGGCAGACTAACCATGCAATTGTCTGTACCACATTACAAAATATGGGCTCTCCCCAGTGGTACTAATTGCTCATTTTTATGAGCACTAAAAATTTAAATAACTCCCAATTCTGCCTGTCCAGACTCTTTAAAGTGAGTAAAAAGGAATATAAATTATGTTTAGGGAACTTCACTGTATTTTTAGTGTGTGTTAATGTGTGAACATACACCATGAGTGTTTCCTGGTGGTGGTGTCTGGCACTAATAATTTAGTGTTACAGTTGCAGTAAAATGCAGGAGAATGTAGCACTTTAAAGACTGACAAGATGGTTTACTAGATGATGAGCTTTCATGGGCCAGACCCACTTCCTCAGATCATAAAGTTTGTGTATATCCTGACTGTGGTACGCTTCGCCTAAAATCCTGTGTTCCAGCTAGAAGAACTTGATGTATTGCAGTACGCTTAAATAAAAAAGAGAGGCTCAAGGAATTGTTGAAACATAAGCAATAAATCCTTGGGTCATATGAACATCTCTGGATGACACGTCTTTATTTGCTGTCCTTCTCTCTTTGGTTCTATTGAAAGTTATAGGGACAGACTAGAATACTTCTCATGAAATCTAAAGTCTTAAAAGCTTCTTTCAAAACCAGTGCAAATTAAAACCCAGAATCTCTTCAGTGCAACTTGTCATGTTGCAAACATGCAGTTATTTATATTTCTAATGGGAATGAAGAGAATTGCAGTTCAGCTAAAAAGCAGCGAGAAGATTGGTATTCACCATTTAAAATCTCTTTCTTTAGCACTGGTGGTGGTGGGAGTTAAAGGTTTTTCTAAATTTCTCATATAATGAGTAAAATATCCCTTTTTTAAATCCTTCCTCTCCCTTAAAGGCTTTGAGGATAGTTATCGCGGGACTCCTCTCACACCAGCTGCCAGGATATCTGCACTGAACATTGTGGGAGACTTACTACGGAAAGTAGGGGTAAGAACAATTCAGTCATTAGCTAAAGCAGTACTGGAAGATGATAGGTGGCTATGTTTATATTATGAAAATGAAAACCAGCATTAACCCTTTGTAATGCTGAATGAGTTAAAACTATGGAGATGACGTCAGACTAAAACTTGGATCCAAACAGACTCTAATCACGAATGAAAGATTTGAAAATGGGAGTTTTGTAGTTTAGGCCTCTCTCTAGAGTTTTGTAGGCTTCTCTATAGAATCTACATCAGCAAGGACCATCCATTGTCTTTTGTGTGGCTTTAACCCCACTCAGGGTATGTCTATACAGCAACATTATTTCGAAATAATGTCGAAATACTGTCTAGCTGGAGGACTTCTTACTCTAACTCCTGTAACCCTCATTGTATGAGTAAGCGAATTCAGAGGAAGAGTGCTCTGTTTTCAAATAAGGGTTGTACAGATGCTCCCAATTTTGAAATAAGCTATTTCAAAATAAGCTGCGCAATTGGTGTAGCTCAATTTACATAGCTTGTTTCGAGTTAAGCCCTGCTGGGTAGCTGCACCCTAAATCTGCCAGCCAGTATAGCCATTTCTCCCTTCTAGGTGCCTGAAAGAGCAAGGGGAGGGAAAAGTGGAGCAAGCCAGCATGAATGAGTGCCATGCTAGCGGAATATGCTGCACTCTCTTCAAGGGTGGTGCAGCAGGAAAGCAGGTGCATGCTGGCCAGGAGGAATTCTGGCTGAGTCTTCCACTGATTGCCTGCTGGTGTCTCAGGCAGAATCTAGCCTGTTGGTGATTTCTGAACATAGGACTTGAGCAGTAGACCCAGGCCCACCATATGGCGAGTGGGTATATATAGGCTTGTAAGGAAAGGTTTCGAAAGCACATTTGTTTTCATAAAAAAGTGATTCTTATAAAAGCAGCCTATTTATGAAAGGCCTGTTAACTTTTGGAGAAGTTTAGGCCCTCGATGTTTAACTAGACTGCTCAGTTGCTTCTCCCACCTTAACATAAGAGCTAACTCCTCTACCTCTCTTCCCTTTGACATCCCCCAAAATTAAAATATTTTTGCTATTTAATGAATCTGAGCCAGAGGGACTTGGGTATCCCCTTCTATCAAATTCAGTGCTCACATGTGGAGTTGGGGTTAGCAGCTAAAAGCTTCCTCTGTTGGAGTCGTCTTAAATTATTAGCAAATCCTTCCATTGGCCCTTTGCTGGGAAAGAGAATGTTGTTTAACTCTCAGATAAACTTTACTTTAGGCTCTGGAATCCAAACTTGCATCTTGCCGAAACTTTGTATATGATCAGTCTCCAAACAGACTGACTATGTCCTCACCCATGTATCTGAACAAGAGCAGAGACGGCCTGGAAAAACGACTGAGCAATTTTCACATGCCTTTGAGCGATAACGGGTAGGTGCTGATCTGCTGCAATTTTTTAACACTGGCCTTTTGGTTTGGTTATACATAGGTCTTGATGCTTGTAAAGTGAGTTTGAAAGCTGTGGGTTGGATTGGTGGTGGGTAGAGTTCTGCACGGATACAAAATTTGTATCCACGTCTGTATCTGCAAAAATTAGTCACAGATATCCGCATCAGCATCTGCAGATATGGATACCTGCTGATATAAAGTGGATGTCTGCAAAAGTGCAGGGTTGTAGGTACAAAATTGTATCTGTGTCTGCATCTGCATCCATATGCTCAAAAAAGAGCTGTGGATACTCACAGATATAAAGTACACTCTATCAAATGCCTCCTGTCCTGTTTCCTATTGGACATCGTCTGACATTTGCATACTGCTCCTCCTCAGTCAGACATTAAGCTTCTTGCTGTTTGAGCTTCCTCTCAGGGCTATATTCTTGATCTTCCTCTTTCTCAAAATTGGGTCATTATATGTGACATTAACCTGGTGATAAGTGTTGCTCAAAAGAGATGAACTACTTTAGGATTGGGATATAAGCGACTAATAACTATCGCTTTTGCTTATCGGATAGTCAACTAGTTCCTCGACTAGTCACTCCTCTCCTCCTCCCCTCGCTACCTCTATCAGAGGCAGCAAGAGGAGGGGAGCAGGCGCCGGGGCTGGGAGGAGTTGGCTTAAAAGCCGGTTCCCCCAGCACCATCTCCGTGGGACACAGGGGGGTAGCAGGGACAGGGTGCGAGCTAGGAATCAGCTGATTCCTGGCTCACGCCCAGTCCCAGATGCTCTGTCTCTGCTTTTTAAATGTATCCAGATCCTTCCTGTTCTTAATACATTTAAAAGGCTGGTGCCGGGGATCAGCTGTCCCACTCGCGCTGGGTACCCCTTGCTGTGCTTCAGTCTTTTAAATGTATAAAAGGCAGAGCCACAGTGAGGTTACCTCCCGGGGGCCGGGAGCTAACTCTGCTGTGGCTCCCCCACTTATTGACTACTAGTCGATGATTAAACTAAATGTAACATTCCTACTTCAGTATCCATTTTGCATTGCACTTCAGCATAATGGAAAAGATACTAAACAGGACATGAACTAGCTAACTAAAATAGGCAAATGCATAGATCCTTTAAAAGCACATTATCATAATATTGTGAATTGTGTGATCTCTGACCATTCAAACTAGTTAGCTGAAAGCTTTAAGTTTAGTGGAAACACTAATGTTCAAACAGGAAATGTTAGACTAAGGACAGAAAGTTCCAAAATTACTTGGTCTCCCAGGAGCCTGAATGATCATCTCAATTCTGAATACTTTACCCCAAGTTTTAAATGTTTAACACGATCTGCTGAAATGTGCTATATTAGAGCTTAGTTTTGGGCTCTGGAAAACATTGGATTGATAGAGCGTATGTGGAACACTTTCAGTATAAAATGTAAAATCCAGCGTTAGTTTTGGGCCACTACTTAGGACAGTGGAGAGCAACCTGTGGCTCAAGAGCCACACGCAACCCATCGGGGGTTCTATGTGTGGCCTGCGACATTTTGTTTATTGTTGTTCACATGCAGGATTACCATGATACTTTTAAAGTTACAGACTAACATGGCTGCCCCTCTGAGACTTATAGTTCACAGTCTAAGTAGATGAAATACATCTGTATGTAATTGATTTGTTTAGGTTCTCAGGGTGCGTCTACACAGCAGCTTTATTTTGGAATAACTGACATTATTCCAAAATAACAAAGAGCGTGTCTAGACTGCACAAGCATTTATTTTGAAATAATGGTGAGCTGGGGGACTTCTTACTCTGACTCACGGTAATCCTCATTTCATGAGAAGTAAGGGAAGCTGAAGGAAGAGTGTTCTTCCTTCAACTTCCTGCTGTGTAGACAGCGCCAAAAGCCGAGTTCAGCTACTTTGATTTAAGCTGTGCAATTGACGTAGATGAAGTTGCGTAACTTAATTTGACTTTAGTCCTGCTGTGTGGATGTACCCTGAGAATCCGAGGAACAAGTGTGTCTTATGTATGTGTACTTCACCTGACACCTTTCTATTACAGTAGCACCCAGAATGTCAAAATAACCATCAACCTCACAAAAAAAATTATCTATTTGCAATGCAGATCCACTAGTTCCTCGTGCTGTTTGATGCTGACTGAGTCATCTTACTAGAAAACAGTGACCTTACAAAGATTGCAAAAACTGAACATGCATGTACAGTGAATACAAGACATTGCATTACAACTAGGCTGTTATTTGTATTTACAGGTTAGGGAAACGCTTGGAGTTTGGAACATGGCCTTCAAACATTCCCGCACCAATGGCACATTCCCCACAAGGGGTAGTCAAGATGTTACTCTGAGAGGATCCTGAGATGATGAGGCCATGATGGATTAGGATTTTTTTTTTTAAACTTTGTCTTTTAATCTTTCAAGAGAATAAGAACAAGCAGCCCCAGTAGTTAACTTGAATAAGGGAAGGTGACTGGCAACAGCAATTGACTTTTCCACAAGACTGAGTTGTGGATGCTGTGACAAAGGCGCACTGCTGGTCAGTCTAGTACTGCAAATCACTTTCCTACATCAGCTGCTGGAAATAGCATCTTGAAAGTTGTTTCTGGAACACTGCTGTCCCAAACGAATGGCCTCCTATATAAAGTAGGGTTAGTAATCCTCCCCATAAATACTGATACATTTTGTGTAGCACAGCTATTGTTTCAGCAAGAGAGTTACGGTGTTATGATTTTCTAGTGTAGGGTGCTGCATGCATCAGTGGCATCAATTAGGGAAATGTTTGTCTCCATCCAAATTTTAATTTCATTATGAGAATTTTTGGATCAAAATCAGTGCAACTGCAAGTCTAAAATAAAGCCGGGTGGTCAGATTAATTTGTTGTCAGAATCCCATCATATAACAAACTGCCTTTCATATGATAAGATGTTAGCGATAAGAGTGACTTACCATTAAGATTTCTTAACGGTTAAAGAAGGAAAAATGCCTTGATTGCAAATATTGAAGAGACCCCCAGATATGTAGTAATGCAGGAAAGAAATAGTTGTGCTGATATAACAAACCCATAGCATCTGCAGTTTCTAGCCACTACATGACTGCATAACATGGCAAGACCTACACCACTGACCTATTGATAGAGTTAATCTCAGTTGATGGGTCGGGGCTTTTTGCTTTCTGACAATACACTTGATAATGTGCCTCAAGTATGTACCATAAGAATATACCCCTTCTAGCTATTGCTAGTGATATTAATCCCCCAAATCCTTAATTCTGGCCAAGGATTTTAAGATAAACTCTTTTAAGATAATTTTTTATCTAACAGAATAATGCTCCAAGTTTAAGTGGAGTAGATTCACCGACAGTAGTAATATCATGTTATAGAAATGTGAACTTGCAATATGATGCAGTATGGCTAAAACTATTTTTTTGCCCAACAAATGAATACATAATTGTCTTTTTTAAAATATTCAGCTCTGCAAATACAGATACTATTGTACAGGAAGCAACTACATCTTAATCTCACTCTTTGATATCGAAATTGTCTGGTTTAATCAGTGAACAGAATAAAGCTTATTCTGAATGTTAACCTATGGACGATTTTATCTGATCCACTGTGAATTCATTGCCCGTGCTGTTTACATTCCAATATTAGTCTAACCTGTTTCTCAGTTGTGTTCCTGCAAATGGAGCTTTAAACAAGGCCACACTCACCAGATCTAGTGGAAAACGATTTAAGAAAATGTTCACGTACTCTTCCTTGTGTGGTGTTGGTCTTTCTGCCCATGCTCCTCAGAGTGGCTGCCCCAGGAGAATTCTATGTGTTGCACTACTAACCCCCCCCATTACTGTAGTACCCCATCCCTTTCCCAAGACCCTGCCCCTTTCTTGAGGCCCCGCCCCCTCCATTCCCCTCCTCTCACTTGCTGTCCCCAGTCCTTACTCACGCTCATTGGGTTGAGATAAGAGGAGTGGATCTGGGGTGGGAATGAAAGATTTGGGTGTGGGAAGGGGTGGGGTGAGAGATGCAAGTTCTGGGAGGGAATTTGGATGCAGGAGGCGGTGGAGAAGGGGATGCTAGCTCAGGGAGGGAGCTCCATGCTGGAGAGTGTTGGGGGTCAGGTGAAGGGTTGGGGTGCTGAGCAAGCTGCAGACTTGTGTATATCAGGGTGCAGGGGTTTGAGTTGGAGTATATGAGTGGGTCAGGTGTGTGATAGCCTCAGGGCACAAGTTTGTGGCGTGTGGATGGTGCAGGGGTGTTGTGGCACAAGACTGGGGATATGGGGGTGCAGGAGTTTGGGGATGAGCGGAGCTCAGGGCAGGAGGTTCAGGTGTATGGCCTCCGGGTTGGGTGTGGGGCGGGGGGTGTAGAGGTGTTATGATGCTATGGCCAGATGAGGGCTTGGCCCCAACTGGGGGCTTGTTGGCCAGGTTTAATTTTTAAATAATATATTACGTCCAACACAAAATGATTTCAACAACATCTTTATTTAGGGGAGGTGTGGGGAATATTGTTGCGGTCAGGGGGCCACTGACCCACAGAAAAATCATTCGAGTACCACATGAGTAAGATGCAAAAAACCAACCCCTCCAAAATCCCCCAAGCCTCACTGATGTGACCCTAAATGAGACACCTCACTCCCCGGGCACTCCAGCCCCGTGATGGGGTGAGGAGGGTAAGTAGGACTGAGGATGAATGCCTCAGGCCACATTCACTCTTCTGGGGATCCAGGGTTTCTGGAATAATGGTCAGTATAATTATACTGAATACAGTCTTCTGGAATAATTACATGGGTACTGAAATAATGATTCCAGAAGCCTGTATTCAGGATAAGAGGCATATTGGTGTTCCCTGTAAGCTGTGCACTTGTGCAGCCACTAAGGAGAGATTCCAACGCTGCCCAGCTGACTAGCAGAGCGCCCACAACTAGGTTTGTGTTTCTGCTGGTGGTGCACATTCACACATTCTTCAGTGCATGTGAAAATGTATTCTGCACACGGATGGAAAAGATTAGAGGGAACATTGGTGCAGATAAACTCTCTCACCTGCCCCAAGTCACACAAGAGCTGGAACCCAGAAATTGCAAATTCTAGGACAGAGTCCTACCCACTGGTCCGTCCTTCATCTCTCTCCATGGCTTTCTCTGAAACACACTTTACATGTTTGTGCACGTGCACACACACGCCTGGCCCCACGAGGACCAGATTTTTCTGAAGAACTCAGCATCCATCCTGCATCTGCCATGCCAGATCCCTGCGCTTAGGACCATTCGCATCTCGCCAGTTTCAAGCGCGACAGCCTCAATCTCCCTTGTTCCCACATATGGAGTCGCCAGCCATGTGAGCTGTTATGCCTAACAGCTGTATGTTCACAGAAATAGGGTTGGACTGTAATAAATGGCTGAGCAATGAATTCAGCCCACCACTGGGCTGGTGCTGGAGGGGGGGCCGTGGGAAGGGCCGTGGCACTGGAGGAGGGGATCTGGGAAGGCACGTGGTGCTGGAGGGGGGTCGGTGGGAAGGGCCGTGGCACTGGGGGGGGGT